GTGGGTGGAATGAAAGACTTTCACTTAGAATTTAATATTCAGCTAGGCAGTAATCAGTCGCCCACATTTTATCATATTTATGTACTTTTTGTTCTTTTGACCTTTTCAAGTTTATGAAACAGTCACTGCCAGCACAAATCATGTGCGCTTATCTCTGCATATTATTTTTTATATTATTCATTTTCATTTATTTTAAAGTTAGAGCCAAGGTTGTGCGGCACTTGTACTGCAGTCCAGCTTTACACATGATTGCCCGCATACAGATACAGATTCACAGACAGAGGCGCACTCATATATGTGGATGATGGAATAAAAGCCGTTGCTGAGCGCAATTCAATTGGAATTAAATCCAAGCAGGAGCAGTAGTTGCCTTCAGCGCTGACTGCAGTTGTTGTTGCGAGCCCATTGTCGGCCCCATTTTGAGCTTAGCGGCTCACACCACTATCCCCTGTGTCTGTGTGGGTGCTTGAATTTCCTGCTGCTAGCCTGTATATACATACATACACATTTATATGTATAGAAATAGATGTATGTGTCTATCATATTACATACATATATGTATGTGATAAAGCTGTGTTAGCGAACTTTGCAACTGTTTTGATTTCGTCCGGGGTTTACAAGCTGCATTTTTGCACCCATTGATGACAATGGTCAGATTTTCACTGCAATGCGATTTGCTCGTCTTGTTGTTGCCGTTATTGTTGTAACACAGTGTTTTTATTGGATTTGCTGTGTGTCAATATCCTGAAGAATTGTTGTTCGGACCACACACGTTGCTAACGAATAGCGGTAATTACTGACGAAAGCGTCAACTGCTGCGCTGCCTTGAGCTATCGTTGCCTCGACCTTTGGCATTTGTTTCGTTGCTCCGATATTCATAATGTGGACACGCATTTCCAAATTAATATGAAATATTCATTGATCTGCTATAAATTAATTTATTCAATTAACGGTCAATGAAGCTATCGCAATGTTGCACTTATAATGAATATGCAGTTAAGTGCAGCGCAGCCTTTTATCATGCGCATATTGAATTTTCCAGCGAATCTATTTAATTAAAATATTTTTAATATTAATGCCTACCCAATACTGCCTACCACGTGGACTTTTTTAATATAAAATCCAATAAGCTCTTGGCTGAGTCCCATAAATAAATGAGTAAGCCTCAGAAGTGTTCAATTCAGTTGGGAATCAAACAGATGTTTGGCCTCTGAAAACTGTTCCGCACAAATTAGAGCAGCTACAAGTTCTAGATAAGTCGGTGGAGAGCTGAAATTAATTTCCTAAAAAAATGTGATACAATTAACGAAGAAAAGTATAAAGGAATGCCTAAAATACCGAAGTACTTACATACATATAAAAATTGGAAAGTTTTACAAAACTCGTAATCCCGCTGTTATTGTACCCAAATTTTCTATTGCACCGTTAATAAATTGTGCCCTGAAGTTATTTACGCAAAGCAACCCATTGAAGCCGTAACCCAAATGCATAAATCACACGAAGGAAGCTTCAGCACAAAATGGTTTTGCGTTTGGGTTGGGAGGCTCATTGTCGTCGGTGCTGGAAATGTAATTTCTGCTCATTGTTACCCAACAACTTTGGTCATTAGGTGTCCAACCGTTTGCTCACCCCTTTTCTATTTCCAGACGATGTTAAATTGCACTTTTTCGCATTCGGTTGGCACCGCCTTCAGTACCTTCACTACACATGAACATAGCGTAATTTATATTTAACTATGGCAAACAGAAGTGCCAACTCCCATCTGCCACTACCTCCTTATCAACCAGAGCCAAACGCTGTGAGTATGGAAATTACAAAACGGCAGCAACCATAAATTCAGATTCAAGAACTAAGCGGTTACAGATGCAGTTCCAGTTGCTGAGCGCCAAGCAGTCCCCTCTAGTTATTTACTACAAGTTGTACGTCCTTCCACCTGCGCACCACCTCCTGGTAGTGTCTTCTTCTTCTTTAAGTTTTTGTTAATTGTTGTCGCTATGAACAACGTCGTATGAATATCGCGCAGCGTCCTTGGGTTGCTAGGTGTTAGGTGTTGAGTCCGGAGGGAGTTTAATTTAGTCACCAAATGACTATTAGTTATGAGCTGATTATGCATCCACTGCTTGCTGGCAGCCGTGATTAATGCGCCGTTAAACGTGATTCCGAGGAGGTTGGCAGCCAACGCGCTCCTTACAAAAACAGAACATTTGCACGCGAATGTTTGTCAAAACGGCACGCAAAATACTTGCACAATAACCCCATCTGTCACATAAGCAAAAGGGAGCAGCCCTAAGACAAACACATTTTATGGCATTTTTATTGAAACACGTAAAACACAAATTGAGCAACTCACAGCCAAGTCCAAGAAGTTGAGTGGCAAGGGCTGAATAATCATGGAAAGCCTGAACCTAACTTGGCTTATAGACAGCGGGAATTGAATTTCATAGCATGCAAAAGGGTGTACAAATTACATGCAATTAAAATCTTCAAATACACACATTCATTGATTATGAATCAATTGAGTTAAGAACATTAGGCCATGATCATAAGCTATAATACGAAGATTATGAGCCTACGTATTATTATTAAATATGCATGTTTAACTTTTGTAACTTTTGCCGCTATTAAGGATTGACTTAACATTTAGAATGTAAAGTGGCTCACAACTTATTTCAGCCAGCTCCATAAAAAATTGAGACATCTATTAAATCTATTCAAATATTTCAGGCCAAAATAACTAAACAATAAGAACTCATTGCAATATTTTATTTTTAAATTATTTTATTATTTTAAAGGTGAGACTAGCAACTTGTATTTCTTATTTTTATTGTACACATATGTATATTTAACTCATTCATAAATTTTTTTTAAGATTTTGGTTTAAATTAGGTACCAAAAAGTGTAGTTGCGCCTTAATTTATCCTTTGAAACACAAACGATATTATTTTATTATTATTGGTTACTCATCTATGATTACTCATCTATGTTAGCATATGTATGTATGTATGCATGATTGTCAAAGAAGTATTCGATAGTCATCGGTCTTACAGTTTCGATATTAATTTATTTTTAAACGATACATCGTCTTAAACGATAAATTACAAAAGTGGCTTGTGTCACCACTCGCACACAACAAGATTGTTATTTTCCCTCCAAATTTAACTCATTTATACACATATAATTAAAATCTATCTATATATCCTTGGCGATGCAAACGGAGTTAATCAATTTTCCGCGTGCCGAGAAAATCGGCGAAGGCACATACGGCATAGTGTACAAGGCGTGCAACAATCAAACCGGCCAAGTCGTCGCACTTAAGAAAATCCGTCTCGAAGGGTACGTAATGAGCAGCAAAAGGACGTTTGGTTGTGGCTGCAACTCTAGAATGTGTCCATCCAAGTAGTGTCAGCGCCAAGATGCCCACATCTATACTTCCATGGCAAATAACAAGTTGAGGAATTGCTTCTACTGGCAGCTGCGCCTTATCCTTGATGTCCTTGACGAATGTCAAACAGCTTGGCTGGCTTGGTAGCTGAACTACGAAGCCCGGGTTTTGTGTGTGCCGCGCTGTTTTGAGTACGTAGCACCACATGATTCGGCTTGGTAGTACAGGCTCATTCAACAAATTAGGCATCAATTTTATAGATTAATACGTGCCAATTCTATATTATTATGATCCCTTATTTATTAGTTGTATTCACTTATGTTTTCTTAGAGAATCAGAAGGCGTTCCCTCGACTGCTATACGGGAAATATCTTTATTAAAAAACCTTAAACACAAAAATGTTGTACAGCTTTTTGATGTGGTTATATCAGGCAATAATCTCTACATGATTTTCGAGTACCTTAACATGGATCTTAAAAAACTTATGGATAAAAAGAAGGATGTATTTACACCACAGCTCATAAAAGTGGGTAGACCAATGGCAAGATTAAATTATTCAAAACTATATAATTATATCGATGGTGATACGTTTTACAGAGCTACATGCATCAAATATTCGATGCGCTGGATTTTTGTCATACAAATCGCATACTGCACCGCGACCTGAAGCCGCAAAATCTGCTCGTTGATACAGAAGGCAATATTAAGGTAGTCCAGCTTCATTTACTCACTAGGTATCAACTAATCTTCTGATTATAGCTGGCAGATTTCGGCTTGGCGCGTGCTTTCAATGTACCCATGCGAGCTTACACACATGAGGTAGTTACACTTTGGTATAGGGCGCCTGAAATACTGTTGGGTACCAAGTTCTATTCCACGGGCGTGGACATTTGGAGTCTTGGCTGCATATTTGCTGAGATGGTAGGTCAGCTTGATCCGTTTCTTGGTTGTTTATTGACGAGCATTGGCTTTACAGATCATGCGACATTCGCTGTTTCCAGGTGACAGCGAAATCGATCAGTTGTATCGCATCTTTCGCACACTAAGCACACCGGACGAAAGTAAATGGCCAGGCGTTACACAGCTGCCAGACTTTAAGCCAAAGTTTCCAAAATGGGAAGAACCCAATATACCGGCCGCGTTACGTGAGCACGAAGCACATGATCTCATTATGGTAACACAAATTAAATCTAAGCCTTACACTGCAGACATTAACGAAAACGTCTGTTAACAGTCAATGCTATGCTACGATCCGAATCAACGGATATCTGCAAAGGACGCCCTGCAACATCCATACTTTCACAATGTGCAGCATGTTCAGAATGTGGCGTTGCCCGTGGACCCCAATGCTGGCAATCCTTCGCGGATTACGAAGCTCATTTGACTTATGATTTACGGTCAACATAAAAGCTATCACGTTTTTTGTGATTGTAAAGTAAGTTCACACATCTACCTCAATTCTGATAAATCTAGTACAATTATAGAAAATATTACTCTATGTAAAACCATTTTCTTTTTTTACCCACTTGCAGATGGCAACTCCATTTCATATCGACATACACCACAGTCATACTAACAGACACCATCATAATAATATATTAATCATTTACATAACACATATTTTATTAGTGGTTCTTTACCAGGCGTGCAGCTAATACGTAACGTAGCTGCTTGCGTGGTTTCCATTTAGCTGGCTCACCCATATCTTTCTGTTCGGATTGGCGTTGACGTTTACGACTCTCACGATCGTCGCGCATATACGTGCCGAATGCATTGCGCACGCTCTCAGAGAGCGGCATTTGATCGTCATTCGATGCAGCACTTGATTCGGAATCAACGTTGCCTTCGGTATCAGTGCCGACGCTTGAAATACTTTCATCGACGTTTTCATTGGTTACGCTGTCGTCAGGCATTACATCCAGTGTGCTTGCACCCGAAGAATCGCCATTTGGCAGCTGAATCGCCAAAGTGACAGGTCGCACTATAGCAAAGCGTTTGGTACTAGGTTTACCAAAGCTCTCGTTCTCCTCAGTCGTATACTGCGGCACATCACCTTCCACTGAACTATCTTTGTAGAACTGATCATAGTAATTAGGCTGAGCAGCAATGTCCGAAAACGTTTGCAAGCGACGCATGCCATAGTAGTCATTAGGGCCATAGTAGTACATAGGCTGATGCAATGTGGATCCGTAGTAGTCATACGGATGCTCCTCCTTCTCCTGTGAGTCATACATCGGTCGACGCTTTTGCTGCTTACGGCGCTTACGCTTACGTTTTTTGGCACTCTGCGCTGCAGCAGTAGACGATTGCTGCACCTCATCTGCCTGTTGGTCATCAGTGTACATCTCAGCTTGCACGGGTGCCGTTTCAATTATGTTGGTTGCGCCATTCGTAAACAAGTTGGCCAGAGGATTGGTCAAATTGCGGAAACCGAAATTTGGCTGAACGCTTCGTAAAAAGCTATTCCAGACCCGAAAGAAAGGCCGCTGTGTTGTGCTGGTAGAGACTTCCTTCGGTTGGTCCGATAAGCGGTAGTGCCTTTTCAGTCCGTCACTGGGAAATCTGCTCTGTACAAATTCGCGTTTGGGATAAGCAATCTGACTGCTGATAAAAACCCAAAAATATACATTTAATAATATAATATAATCAAAATCCCATAATGGCAACAGTAATTTCTACTGATAAGAGCATTTTAAAAAGCGTATTTTTATTATATATAATTTGACTAACCCGGAGTATTCTGGAATCTGTATCTGCGGCTCCCAATAGTGGAGCTGCAAGTCAGTTGTCCTGGCTGCTTGAATCTGGCTTGCAGCAGCAATCCACGCCAGCAGCAGAAATGTTGCCCGTAGCTGGAATTGCATTCTGTGGCCTGAAATTTGAAACTCGCAACTGTTTTCTTCGCTGGCTTAGAGGCAACTAAAACAGAATTCATATGGATCTTATGTTGTCAATACAATTTCCATTTAGGTTTTTTAACAACACTACGATCTTGGCTGACTGACGGGTCAGCGAAAGTTTTTGCATCAATTTGGCAAAAGCCATATCTAGAAAATGTCATTAATATTAATGTCATCTAAGCCAAGAATGGGGTTATTATCCAAGCTGTTGAAAGTCTTGGTATGGGCGCAGCTCACAATTGATAGCTTCCAATCAACGAAGACATTCATATGGTAATCGTCATACATCTTTAACGTTTGTTTAACGTAAAGATCAGTTTAACGTAAATACCAGTTTATATGAAAGTGGTTAAGGTAGTTTTGAATTTAATTCAAATGTGATTTGAAATGAATTTTCTAAATAATATACTTGAGCAAAAAAAGTTACAACTTATATAAATCATCAAATAGATATATGTATGTGTATGTGATTATTACATTTATAACTACGACTAATACCTAATATTAAATAAATTAACATGGAATTGTCAAATATATTTGGAGATCTCGCCAACCATCTTTAATACGGAACAGTAATACGAAAATAAGACGACAATTTATCAAGACCTTCGGATAGTCAATGGACACATAGCCCGCCATATGGGGATCCAAAACAACTTGTCAGCCATAGCCAAAACAAACAAAACACAAGAAAATCTCTAACAAGTGTCAACAACTGGCCAAAGGGAGAGAAAGAATAAATGAGAGAAAGCTTTAATGAGCGCTTGAGAGAGTGCTTTTGGGAGACTAAAATCGAGCTTTGGCTGCCATAGGGCCAACTTAAAGGCATGCTCAGGAATTGTTTCAGTCGACGTTTAGATTCCTGGCCAGAAACCAACCGAGCGCTAAAAAGTCGCGACACGCGTTAAAAAGAAAACTGAAAAATCGCCAGCAGCCACAAACAAGCTACAATAGTTTTTCCTCAGTCTAGGAAAACTAGTGAAAAGGCAAGTTTAAGTGGCAGTTGCGTTCGGCTAAACAGTCCACCGCTCGTGTCCCAGTATAAGTGTGTGTATGCGTGTGTGTATTTGTGTGGGTGCGCATCTATGCTTGTGTGTATCTATGTGTGTGCACGTTTTGTGTATCCGTTCAGTGTTCAGTTTTGAGTTGCTCCAAATTATGTGGAACAACAAAAAATTTGCTGCATATATGTAATTGAATTAAGGAAAGGGCTGAGCAAGCAGCAGGGCATTCCCTTTTTTCTATAAGGAACCGTGCGAGAGAGCGAACAAAGAATGACACGAATTGCGTAAAGTATGTGGCATGCCTCGCACAAATACCATTAAGTGCTTAAGTAAATTATATAAATACATTTAACGCATCAGTGCGCACTGACAACAATGGCAAAAACCTCAGTTGTCAGTTGAACAATTAATTACTCTGAGGACTGCCCCCATAAGCCCCAACGCTCTGCCACATCCAGGTACGTAAAAAATTTAAATTCCCTCAGCTAACACATATGTATGCAAATGCCCCAATAAAGTAGCTGAGTAAGTGTAAGTATAGCAGAGACTGGCTAAGGCGACCGGTTGCCTGCCGAAAAAAAAAATGCAAAACGCCCGAATATAAAAAGGATAGATACAGCACTCTAGCAAGGACAATGTAAGCAACCCAACCCTAGCACCAGCTTTCCACTCGTCTGAAATTGAAACATCTTGGCGGGCGTTTCATGGCGAATTTTTGAAGTGCGCGTTCTGTGGTCGCCTCTCTGCCGCCCACTCGTTGACTATTGTTGTTGCGCCTAGTTCAGGTGTGTCTCAGAGTAACAATTTTTGGCGTCACTTTCGCTTTCGGTTTCATTGACGCTGTGCGCTCGCTCGTGCCCTCGCTCAAGCGATGTGCTTGACCATAACCACTAAAACTGTCACATTGCGTATATGCCGCGTGTTGTCCTCGAGCATTGTTGTTGCTGTAAGCTCGCGCCCAGCACCCAACACCCAGCACCCACGCATGCCCCGAGAGCGCAAGCTCACGCTTTTTCACTCTCTTTCTCAGTTTTCGCCACGCCGTGGAGCGTTCAGCTGTTCGGTTTTTGTTTTGTTTTGTTTTGAATCGCGTTTTTGCACATTTGCCGTAAACAACCAACACCACCCACTGTCTCGCCCCCCTGCTGTTTATCTAGACGCCAGTTCCATCAGTCTGCACATTTGTGCACGTTTTGCCCCGTTTTTGTTTGGCAATTTAAATTTTATTGCGATTCTAATGCAGCGCAAAAGAAAACAAACAAAAGCCACGTCAAGAAATAGAACGTGCTGACATCTTTTGCTTTACATGGAGCCATTTGGCGCCTAAATATGTACTCTCCGAATAGGTTTGCTAATTAGTGTTGCTGTTTGAGCCCAAAATCGTTGTTCTCCATTACAATGAAGGAGAAGATTATATAGATGAATATATAGAATTAAATGAGTGGGAGATTTCTGATAGCGGAAAGAGTAAAATATTATGCAAATAATGCTTAGCCGCTCTCTCTTGAGTCACAAATAAAATGTTTCCAGGTGAAAATTTAAAGAAATCGAACCTAATTTTTTATGACAGTCTATGCTTTGAATAACTTAATTTTCGTATGTAATCTAGGCCATGCCCCAAATCTTAAATAATTTTATGTCAAGCCTCGACACGCATATTTCACGAATAAAATTCCAAGCAACAAACACGTCATACAGCACGTCACGCAGACATGGCCAATATAACACCCAGCATAGGCATACTCTGTGATATAAGTAGCTGCCAGTCGACTGTACGACAGAGTGAGTGCACTGCTTAGCTGTTTGCTTTTAATTATCACCTGATATTGTAGGCATTAAAATTTAAGTTAAAAAAAAAAAAACAAGTTTTGCCTGCCTTGCAAATGCCTTGGCAAGTGGCCAACGGGTTGCAGCCGTTGTTTATTGTACTTCCGCTTCCCGTTTACCTCCTAAGTGACAAAAATTCTGCTGGCGATGTCACCTGCCGCCTTTCGCTTGTGGCTTGTCTGCCAGCTGCTGTCAAAGAAGCCGTCATAGTTAGCTTTTCAATTTTTCGAAAACCTACCAAAGGAAAAGCCGAAAACTTCCACTGCAATCTCCATGTTTCTCACATTGGCTATTAATAGTATATAAACAATTTGCATATTGCATGAGCATGAAGCCAAGTGAATTCGAGGTTGTAAGGGAAGCAGCAGAGTGAGGTAGCTGAATAATTAACACCGCCGACCTGTTGGCAGCCTTTGCCCGCTTTATTTTCCGCACAGTTCAGTCACTTATAATTAGGAAGTCGGCATTACGATTAATGAATTTTAGATAGGGGCGCACATCCAGAAAACTGGCAGCTACAGAATCCTCTCCGTCGACATTTTCCTTCTCGTCGAGTAGCAGGCCAACCAAGTAATAGCTTTGCGGCGCATCCATCTTCACATGTATGCCCACCAACGGAGCACCCAGATGGTACATCATACTTTTATCCTGATAGCCGCAGACGGTGTTGCTGCTGCTGAGGAGGGAGCTATGCTCTTTCTGGCAATAAGACCGACTGTGTATGTGCACATAGGCCTTATGCTTGAGTTCATCTTTGATGGGCAGGCCGGCCACAACGAACAGCTGTCCCACCAGCGTCTCATTGACCTTCGAGGGTGGCGGCATACAAATGGGCATTACATTTGGAGTTAACTGTGCATCGCGCTGTAGTGTGAGCACCGCGAGGTCATGCTTCAGAGTTAGTGGATCGTATTCGGGGTATATGGCGATCTCCTTCACCGGTATGTCCTGGGCGGGCAGCACGCAAAAGCCATTCCTATCGCAGCTGGCGTCACCCAGACTGGAGCTCTTATTCCATACGCCCAACAGAACAGAGAAGACCTCGACGTGCCCATCGTACTGCAGGAAACAGTGGGCGGGTGCCAGCACATTTCGTTTGGATATAAGGACACCAACACAGCCATTATTTTGCAGCTTCATCTCTTGTCCTGGGATAAGATTTTTGACCTGCTAGCTAGTGCCGAACATTGCTCAGACTGAAGCACTTACCATTCATGTACGTAATGCCCGCCAACCACTGATGTTCTGTGGGTATCGCAAAGGCATTCATTATTAAGAACTGATCCTCGCTGATGTAGCCGCATTTGGAATCCTGCAAGCTTACTGAATGTACAACTGCGATGGCAAACAACAGACTAATCAAACCGTGTTCTAGCTGCATTGCGACTGACTTGAGACTGACTTGAGACTTGAGATTAATTGAGCTGGAATTGCATATTTCTCTGGCATTGGCAGAGGCAAAGCTATTAGAATATCGTAAATTATTAAGAGGGCTGCTCGATTAGTTTAGCATTGGAAAATGTTTCTTAATGTTAGTTGAAATCCGTGTGTAAAATAAATATATATTTTTAATACAATATATATATATTTTTTTTTTTCAATTTTGTATATATGTTATCAAAAGCTAGCAAAATATTACATTTTTATTTCATTTGCTAAGAAATAAATCACAAACTTTACACGCATCTAACTTATCTCAATTATATATAATTAAACCAGTAAAAAGAAAACCCGTTTGCCATGCGGATGGAATTTCCAATTACAGCAATCGTGTGATGGAATATTCTGGGAAAATAAATTATTTGTGGAAAATAAATTACTTGTGGAATTTATTTTCTGCATAAGGGAAACTTTTATTGTACTATGAGCTTGATGAGTTTATATTATCTAATATCCAGTGACGTACAGGTCTGATATCTTGGAAAACGATCATAAGCGCCTGTCCCGCGTCCACATTCTTAGCCAGTAGGCCGCCCAAGTAAAAGCTGCTCGGCACATCGTCCTCAACATTAATTCCCATCATTGGAGCGCCCTTGAAGAAGGCGGCTCCAAAATACGGAAACCCACAAAATTGATTCTCTGGTGGCGGGGTCCCCGTTTGATTGTTGCAGCATTGCCTTGAGATGGCAATGACACTACCCTTGCCCTTTTTGATGTCATACTCGTGAAAGCCACCGTAATGTAAATCCATAGACGTCCACGAAGCGGGCTCCAAGGTTGGCTGCAAGCACACCGGTTGAATGTACGCAGTCATATTGATGCGCTGCGATAGCCGTAAAATTGCAATATCGTTGTTGCCGGTGTCCCTGTCCGCAAGCGGATGCATCGTAATCGCATCAACTAGGTATTGCACAGGTCCGGGAACACAAAATCCTCTATCATTGCAGATATACTGCTGGCCGGGCTCGTTCTCCACATCCCAAATGCCCAAACGTACGGCTACCAACTCTGGCCGATTATTAAGCCTTCGCACACAAGATGCAGTTGTGAGGACATGAGATTCGCCGACTATAGCAACATTGCACTCGGCGCTCTCGAATTTCTGATATAAGTCTGAATATAGATAAAATGAGTCTCTCTTAAAGCGAATGCTCCAAAGCTTACCTCTGCGCTGGACGAGTAAGCCTATCCATGGGTACTCGGTTGGCTCCGTGGATATATCTTTTCTGAAGAGCAAACGTTCCTCCAGCCTGCCGCAATTCGCTTCGGCACTAAATGCACCTACTGATCCAAAACATTTGTCCCCAATGACCAATTAGTATTCAAAATTGTCTAAACAACTTACAATTACCATTCACAATTGCCCACACTATGAATGAAATAAGTTTCCCCGGCGCATTCATATTTCCAGTGCGTCTTATCGCATTTATTGCAATTCAAGCTGAGTGTGCAATGCAAACTGAAAGCAGCTCATTCAAATTCCAATCACTTAGCATGCATTAAAGCTAGTATAGTCAGAGAATAGTTGAAGCTATTTCTCTCTGAGTACGCTTTAAAGTTAGACTGAGACCTTAAAGCTGCCTATAAATAAATCAGCAAACAATTTCCCCATTCAGTTCAATAGACTTTCAAACTACTCTTTTCTACTGATATATGCATGTATGTATGTATGTGTACTTTGCTTATTTATTAAATACAACAGCAAACAGCTGTCAAACTTCAGAAAATCAATATACCGATACAAGTACAATAACTTGAAATACTTGAGATTTTCCGAAGGCTCCGCAAATATCCGTGCAATTATTCAACCAGTAGAATACGGGTCGTTATAAAGCTATTAATTCATCGATGGCTCTCTATAAAGTAATGCTATTTGCCAATGGGCTTCGGAATATGGTCTAAATATTTTATGTTTCAATTAGAATGTCATTATCGCAGACAAGCAGTAGGCCTCCCAATGGGATTTATGTACAATGTATATATGATAGCTTGAAGGACGCAAGGACTTTGCGTCGGCCTCTGAGCGGGGGCAGCCATATTTAATACAACACTAAAAGCTGAACAAATTGCCCCACTTGCTGTGGCAGGCGGCTACAATATGAATGTTTATTGTCCAACCAGACGACGTTGACTTTGGCTCAACTTGACCTGAACATTGAGCCACTCATAATTCCCATTGTTATGACGTACCCGTACCCCCACTCACTCACACATACACACAGATAGAGAAAGGGAGTGCGAGTGAGACATATATGACCATTGTGCATTAGAAAACAATGTTATCGCTGCAGGAGGTCAGTTAGCCGTTTAGCACTGTAACATGGCTGCTTGCCTTGGGTTTTTGGCCAACTAGCAGCTGGCCGAAGCGCGTATGCAAATTGCTCGAGCTTGATGTTGCGTGATTGGGTGCGGGTTTGCCCTTTACGTGTAACAAGCCTTCAGTATTGCCTGCAAGATGGCCATCAAGCTGAACTGAAGTCGACACCCGCGCCCGCTCGCCTTGCATGAGGCTCGCAGCTAATCGGGTCCAGCACGTGAGCTTTTCCTTTCTTTTAAAATAGCAATTAAAAAATATTTCTCAGAATATCTTAGAATTCCTTGAGGTTTTATTAAACTGATAGAGAGCTAAAAACTGGAAAAATAATTTTTCATTTTCAATTTCAATTTATTTCACGCTTTGTTATATCTACAGGATTTTGTGAATGGTATTTTACAATAATTTACGAGTTTAGGGCAATACATAGGCCTTTTCTGCTAAGATGTTTATTTACATACATGACATATGAATATACGATGGAAAAATAATTGATTAAAATATTCCAATGCTTTTCTTTTGCTTACATGATATTTATCTTTCTTTTTGGTCAGCAGGATCGGGACACTATGAACTTCAGCGGCGGTTGGCAATGATAGTATGACGCGTGACGGCGAAATTCCAGCCATCTTCAATCCGAAACGCGTGCGCACTCCCTCCGTGGTGGTCACCGGCGACTCCTCGTCGAATGGACCGTACAATAACAATAATAGCGGCGGCGTGGGAGGCGGTGCCAGCAGCAGCGGCATTGGCGCGGTCTCCAGCTGTGGCTTCAGTAATGTGCTCAACTCCAGCAACCCGCAAATAACCCACCAAGATTCAATATCATCGAGCCAACAAGATCCGAATGAGGTCATTACCATACAGGCGGACACACCCACTAACCCGCACGGGTCACAGCATAATTTTGGAGGCGACTCCAACGACACACAGACTGGACAACTGGCAATAGATCAGCAGGCCAATGGGCAGCCGGGCGAGGATGCGGAGGTGCGTTTTCGCAAGCTCAAGGCCTGCAGAGAATCCTGCTGCTCCGAACTGGCCAAGAAGGTGACTTAATATACGATGAGCAATGTAATTTGATTTTCACTGATAAGACTACAATCTTTATGCTACAGATGTACTTTGGGGTGTGCGTCACGATTCTAGTGACTGCTTCGTGGGTGGGCGCCACGCACTGCATCAAGTACATGTATTTGTATCGCGCTCCATATGACGATGAACTGGACGACGATCTAGATACCTCATCGAGTCGCACTGAACTCAGCACCGAACTGGAGGATATACTGGCCATAAGCGACTCATCGCTGCACCATGTCGAGGACGCCACCGAGATGTTCAACATACCACCGCGCCAGCCCGTCTACTTTAATGCGCCGTTCTTTGCGGCCTGGTTCTTTACCAATTTCTCCCTGCTCTTCTTCCCCATCTATATACTAGGGCTCATCTCGGCTCGCAAGTGCGACAAACTGAGCGAGATACTCGCCGATGTGATACGAGGATTTCGCGAGCGAGGCTTCACCATTGGTAAGCGGCTGCTAAAGTGGGTCAATCTGTTTTGTAATGCCATATTCGGCTGACTTACAGGCCGTTTCCTCAATCGCTGTCTATCCTTTTGCATCCTGTGGCTGGTGACCACCTACCTGTACACCCTGTCGCTGCACGTCCTCTTTGCCACGGATGCACTGGCGCTGTTTGCAACAAACGTTGCCTGTGTCTATTTACTCTCTTGGGTCATACTGCATGAGCAGTTCGTTGGCGTTAGGGTATGTATTATAGCCAGCTGCTCCTTTTCCTCATTTTCTAGGCAAAATAACAACGTGAACCATGTCTACCTTAGATTGTGGCTGTTATCCTGTGCGACACGGGCATTGCGCTGCTCGCCTACATGGACGGCATTACGGAGAGTCGAACGTTAGGCGGGGTCGTGTTGGCCACGTTAGCTGCAGCCGGCTATGCCGTGTTTAGGGTAAGCCTTTAGCGTTTAGTCAAGCCTTTTCGTGTCTTGGCCATATCGTGCTCACATCGTCCTATGCTCCCCCTTTCTAGGTTATGTTCCGCAAGGTGATGGGCGATCCGCCGGTGGCACAAATCGCATTTACATTCACCGCACTGGGGTTGCTCAATGCTTTGCTGCTGTGGCCCGTCGTGCTGGCACTGTACCTGACAGGCGCCGAGAATCTGACATCAGAAAGCATACCATGGAACATGCTGCTTGTAGCAAGCGTCCTGCTCCTGGGTAGGCATATGTTATCCCGCTACCTACGCCACACAGAGCATTTCTATTTTTATCGTTGTAATTAATTATTATTGCAGTTTTCCACGTACTCATGCAGTTCAGTGCCGCCGTTACCTACAACATGTTTGTGACATTGGGTTTGATAACCGCTGTGCCCGTTTCTGGTGGTACGTACAAGAACCTCTCGAATCAGCCTTTAGTATGGCCAACCATTACAACAATAATAGCAAAAACTATGCCCAAAGGATTTCGTGACCATATATTATTTTAAATTGCAATCTGTAAACACATATGTAAAGAGCATATAACATATCATATTTGGGGCATATATGAATATGAATATGACTATTATTTGTGTAGCTTACGAGTAGCCTTATTAATAGTACTTAAGTCTAATGCTAAATTTGGAATATGTGCGTCGAGTATTGCAGACGTAGTGATTTAAAATTACAAGTACTATGGACAGCTCTTTGATAATATAATTGAATTTTAAGTTAATATCGGGTACTTTGAAGAGTTGAAAATCTAGAGTAGAGTCATAAGATCTACGCTATCAGAGATTAGTCAATCTTACACATATTTCTTTCAATATTGAGTGCAGTGTAATGGAGATATAAATTCTTTTTAATAACCTATTCATATGCAAGCACTCGACGTCATACTGTACAGTGCCACATTTGCGGGCATGAAACTAGCCGGAGTTATCCTTATAGCCATTGGCTTTTTCCTCGTCATGTTCCCCGAAAACTGGCCCGACTACATAACGCGTCTCCTGCGGTAAGTAGAGAGCTGTTTACCATATTTGTATTACTCTTGTGTTATTATTGCAACAATTATGCTAATTTTCATAGTACTTACATATCGTGCGTGTTTTTTTTAATATTTTATGATTTTTGTTTCATTTTCATTAATTTTATTGTACTCAAGACGTAAATTTGTGTTTAATTACTTGATTTGCTAAGTAAAGTTCATAAATTCAACAACTTAAATTTAATATAAACAAATATTAAACTAAAAACAAAAAAAAAAAAAAAAAAAGAATTAAATTTATTGATTTGTATCTAATATACTTGTATACATAACATAAAGATATATATTTAATTTTATATAAACAAACATCTTGCAGAAAGAGCGTTCGTGCCATACTCCGTTACCAATGTTGTTGTGAATTAGCTGAAATTCGCTATGCTCATTCGGTAGGCCAAATACACAAGCTAAAACCAAAAACCTCCCAAAAACAAAAACAAAAACAAAACCTAAAACTATTATATTACAATATTATCAAGAATACTATTAACGTTGGCATAAGATAGTAACGTAATTATCAAATACGATTTAAAGATCTAGAGCTTGAGAGCCGTACAATGTATAAAAAAAAACTTGACAGATTTTTTACTGACCGAACAAGTATTATATATACATACATCGATTTGAATAGCTAACCACACCCACAAATATATACTCTGTGATAATACAACACCCTGGCTTCCAAAAGTTAACGCTCACCCATTTATATGATATACCCTACCTACATATACATGCTATATATGGCAAATCCTCTATTAATTTATACCTAACAATACCTATATATATATATATATATAAATATTTATACATATATATGCCTTGTTACACAATACTATAACCTAAAATACCGTTATACATATGCCGTTCAACAACACTACTTCAGGCCGTTCTGCAGTTGGCCAATGAAACTTTCTTGTTGTTTTTCTTAATGTGTTTTGCTATTGTTTAATTGTTGTTAACACTTTTAATAATTTCGTTACCTGGCGGCAGTTCAGAGAATCGTATATCAAAAACTGCCAGACTATATACTATCTTACATTTACATACATACATATATTTGACCTCCCAACTATTAAATATAATTTATCATTTCTCAACCACCAATGTGTAAAATATCTTTGTATATGGATGTTGTTGCCAATATTAACCAAGCTGTGGTTCGATTATTGTAGTAGTACATACATACACTCAAACAACACTCCATAAGCCCCAATCCCACACACAGAAACACACACAAACTCAATTAACTGCGTAGTTTGACTTTCGCTGGTGTTGCGATATTTAATTTAAATAGACCTGTTAAGAACTCCCACGACATTTGATGAAATGGATGCTGTCGTTTTTCAGCCTGGTTCCTTGTTTTTGGCTGTTTGTTGTGCGAACTGTTGATAGTACACGCTGCTTTCTCATAACTTATTATTTTCAATTATCATTTCGATTCATCTTCATTCGATCAAAAATCACATGGCGAGATGTTACACAACAGACCAAAATTTGTAAATACTTTCAAACCTATTTAATGCTCTCTTTAATATTTTTTTCCTATTCAACTGATTGCACTTTGTAAACAGGGCGCAAACTATTATAAACATCCAAATATTGTAGCATGGCTGACTCAGAGTCCCGCATTATTAAGTTCTTATAGTTAAAGGTCATTTGTGTTACGATTTCCAAGAACTCTTCCTGTGAAAATCAACTAAAAGTACAACCTATAGTGTATATGAGTGGTATGGTTACGGGAGCACAGATATACATAAATATATATAAATATATAAACCCCCCTATAAATAAAATACTGACAAAATAAAAATCCATATAAAGTGTTTATTATTGGCATGTTTTGAAAACCTTACTTATCAGTTAAATACATTCCCATTGGTCTCACTTTACTTTTCAAAACTCTTGACTTTCTGTTTCAGTTTCTCTTTGAGTTTAACTCCTGTGTGTTCTGTCTCTATACTTAACCGTCTTCTATCTTCTAAACTCTACACTATTGCTATAAACTCTACTTATTTCTTAAATAAAATATGGTGTCGACATTTCTCAATTGTATTTACAGAAGCATCATAATGCTGGGTCACAACGCGAGGTGAGTTTCGTGAGTTCTTGCAATGCCAAAAACAGGCAAAAAAAAAAAACGAATTATTTATTTTAATTAAAGCATAAAAACGGTGCTCAAAACTGAAAGCAACGTTTTCTGCTATTATACGTCAAATAGGTAAACCATACTCAAAACCCAAAACTTTGACAATGACAAATACTTAAAAGTTGAATATTGATTTAAGTTCGATTCCGCTTAGTTCAAAACTTGACTACTAAGTTTGAGCTCTCGGGTTGGTTTTTGTTATGGGCATTTACTTAAACTAGACGCGATATTCCATATTCAATATGACATGATAAGTATTCCTTAAATATTTTTAATCAATTGCTTAAACGAGGGTTTGAAGTAGATTTCCTAAAATTCCTTTCATTTCTTTGCATCAAAATATTTATTTATTTTTATTTTACTCTCCTATAAGCTGAAGATTAATAAGGCTTTCGATTATTATTACTATTTTGTCTAGTTTATTTATAGATTTCTCTCTTGTTATTCAAAGTTTATAGTTTAAGTAGTTTTCAGTCCATCTAAGTAGCTTAGGTATCAATTAGAACCAGTGCCATTAAATATACATTTCGAAAAATATTAAGGTAAGTTCTCTTGAGGATTTGATAACCTCTTTAATAAAAGTGCTCTATAACAACTGAAGTCTTGCTACTTTTCAAAACGCACTCGTCGTTCTTTAAAAGATCTGACACTGCACTAAAAAAAGAAATTCACCTCAAATATGTTTTTCATATATGAATAACGAGACTCTTCAGCTAAATCATCTACAAATGCAAATGCAAGCTTCCTCTAGAGGAGAAACAAGTGTTTATAAGTTTTGTGCTTTATTTTTGTTCATAAACAATATTAAGAAAATAAAAAGTTTTTATTTAAACAGAACGAATTACATGAAGTTTATTTTTCTGTTTTAACTCAAACTTAATTTTTGAACTAACAGCTATCTAGTAGTAAAAAAAATATTTCCAATTTGTATATATAGAAAACACTGCTAATCTGTACTATTGCTTCTTTTCTTCTTGTTTTTCTTCTTCACCTCTGCCACGATCTGCCTATCTGTCTATCTATACGACTGTCTCCCCTCTTGAAACGCTCTCTCTGTCGCTCTCTCTCTGTCTCTCTCTCTCTTTCTATCTCTCTTTCTCTCTCTCTTTCTGTTCTGACACACAACAACCCAAAACACACGAAACCACAACCCACCAATCAACCTGGCCAAATTAACTAACTCCACTACAATTCTCATTGCAAAATTCGAAAAACTGTAATACACTGCAAAAAATGTACAAAAACCAACACAATAAATAAATATATACCACGTAGCGGTAGGCCAGCGCTTTGTAAACGAGATGCTGCAGTCACAGGACCGTCCACGAGATATGCGCAACGGCACATCACGCGTTCCTTCTCGCACCATATAAGCTAAAAGTTGGAAAAAAAAGACCACAGACAGATATTCTGTATAGAAACAAGAAAAACACGCATATATATTTTGTAAATGATTTTCCACAAAAAAATAAGAAAAAGAAAAAATTCATGAAGTTCAGAAAGATCACTGGATTTTGGGGTAAGTACCTGAATTGCTTTAGCTATTGCCTGTGAAATTCATGAGTAACTCGTAAGGTACAGTTGCCACCTCTCAGACTTAGTTAAGTCCAAGTGAAATGTTCAGATGCATTTTCGTTCTTAAAATTGTTCTTCTGTTCTGCTTTAAGTCCTCTTTAAATTATGTGTTGTTCTCTTTCTCTCTCCTTCTCTTGTTCTCTATTTGTATTATGGTTTGATTTTTTAATTCACAGATCGCAGCATATTTATGCGTCCCATTATAAACATAAACGAAAATATTATGCTGTCAACACGAACTCATATGTTGTTTGAGCCAAGCGCATGACTAAACTCCCGATCCTATAAACCGCAATTTTTGTAGCGAGCGTGTGTGGCTTTAGGCAAGTTTTTGTTAAGCCCCACGGCCCACAAAATGTTTTTATAAATGTCGTAACTCTCGAAAACAAAAACAAAAATTTTTTACCAAATAATTAGTAAAAAGTACAATAATACTTGAAATTGCGAAACTAACGAAATGGTGAGCGCTCTTAATATTTTTTGTCAACCCTTAACTTTAAAAACCTCACTAGTTACCCTCGTACTCTTTCTGAACTACAAAACTAACTGCAAATTAAATACATTGTCTATTATAATTTATATGTTATATGTTATTATCGCCTATAGCACTGTAAATAGTTGCACTATGCTTCAATTGTTTAAATTAATTATGACTATAATGGCACAGCTTACTGATTACTCTATAGTTATATATGTATAGTTAGTCATATATGTATGTGGCACCCAAGTACTGCCTCTGCTTATACCTACAATTGCCCTCAAACACACACATACACGAACACCAACACAAACCTTTATTGTGTAAATATATATATAACAACAAAATGTGAAAAACTTAAGAAACATCAGTAAAAAATCAGTAAAAAATAATGCTAGCTAACAATTTTAGACGCCTACAATCCTAGAGTCAATTAGTAAGACTATGTAAATGCATTGCTGAGCAACTCTGAGATAAAATAAATATAACATATACCATATAGTGTATATTGATTGACTGTAGTTGATCCGCTACGTATATACGAAAAAAATCGAATGGAAAACAATATCAAATATTCATAAATGTACATAAAGCGCCTTAGAATTGTACACAAAATGCCTAGAAAAATACCAAAATATGATAAGCAAATTTATATACCCATTGCTAATATCTCAACTATTCTTTATGCTCCACACATCACACACACTGTTCTGATTTAACAAAACAAAAAACACAATATATACGTACATATAATACATAGATGGGGTCGCGGCCCTCGGAGCGGTACTTCAACAGGTCAGCATCCCACCATTATCGATTATCGGACGGGATACATAAGGTCCCATCTTCGTTCACCCTCTGGCCGTGTGAGATGACTGATCTATCGCCAACTACAGCTGGGTTTCTGCATGGCAGCACCAACGCACACCACCACCAGCAACTTTTACAACAACAGCACCACCGCCACCACCAACAACAGCAGCAGCATAATCTACAACGCCAGCACTCGCACACATCTCTAACCATGATCCATCGGCAGAGCAGCAGCCACAGCGTCCATGGCAGCCGTCGCGGTAGCGGTGGCCTCCGTGCCCCACCTACCGGCACCGGTCGCTTATTCTCCTACTTTGGCAATGAGCATGAGCACGAACATGATCGCAAGAAATCGGAGACATCGTTCTTCAATTTGGGATTCCGGCGCAAATCTACCGTGGTCTACTACGCACCCACAGAATAGCCACTGGGCCAATAGATAGCAGCTGTGGTGCAGTTTAGCTGTTGCATATCAATAGACACCGCTCGAGCATATGAAATAAGTGCATCATGGAGTAAGAACGCATTTTGCGATCTCAATCAAGCACCTTAGACTCATTTGGGGCGTACGTACCACTATTATATCGTTAAAAGTATGTCATAGAATTATCGTTGTTGTTGTGAGAGTTTTAATTGAAACACATGCAGTTAGAATTTTGCTCAAATATTTACAAATTATACGCAACAAGTACAGATACTACATAGCTCATAGTCGACACGAACTATAGAACTTTTCTTAATATCACAGAAACCATGCGAAAGCCCATGCACTCTGACACATAAGCAGAGCCACAACCAGGTCCAGAACCAGAACCAGACCCAGAACCAGAAAGAACAAATGAGAGCCCCTTATATAACTGAGCTCAAGTTTGCCCCTGAAATTAACTAAGTACTTACTGATATACACAGAGAATTATTATGAAGAAAATATGTAATTGAAGTAGATAATCGAGAAGAATTGAATGATATATCGAAGCCAATTGTTTTAGCAATTATATAGTACATAAAAGTATATTAATAAATATTACTATTACAAATTTTTAAGTAAACCCACACTGCGGCACACCTTGATAGGGATACCAAATACCAAACTAACTCATTGTTGCAATATTCGGGATATTAGTTAGTCTAAGGTATGTTATTCATAGAGATCACGTTTACTATAGACACCTAGAAAAACAAAAAGAAAAAGGAAAAATGACCCGTTTAGTTGTAAGCTCATTTTAGCAACTATCAGGCAGACGAATGATCTAAATATGATTTATATTTGACTCGTGTGATCTGTTTGAGTGTGTCTTTTAATTTGAAAATGGACCGAAACGGATCTTAAGGTGTTTGTGATTGTTTTTGTAATGATCGTGTGTTGTTTGTTATTTAGCTAATTGTTGTCTATTGTTGTATTGCAAATTGAATAATCGAGAGCAATCTGTTTATTAAATGTTAGTTGCTAGGGATTGTATGATTGACTTCTGATGCATCCTCGCAAGCATTCAACGACTGAGTGGCGTTCGCTCCCTTGCTCGTGGCGACAGATATGGATCTCAAAATTCGAGCATACAATTTCGGAGCTGCCTACTTTGTAAATGTATTAAATTGTGTAGCCACATCCAATAATTGTTTTGTGATAATTTTTAATGATGTTTGATAACCAATTTCATAAAGCTACTCCCACCCGAAACGGAGGCAGCCTTTAATGTAGCCGGGAACTGTAATTAGAAATCACAATGTACTAATAAAATGAAAACACTACAACAACAAATGGCAAAGCGTTCGTTTCACTTACATCTGTCCTGGTTGCCTTGACCCAATTGTCAATAGAGGAAAAATCTCACTTGCGGGCAAACAATCAGTAAACCTCAGTACAAAAACATCTCTCATTCAAATTGAAACCCTTCCAAAATTTGTTAAAATTCTAAAAGGATCAAAAATAAATCAAAGTTCGAACTAACGATTTATTCTTTATATTTCGCGGATAGCTTGGGCCGATCGTAACTAAATCTAATCAGTTCAGTCGTGCATACAACTACCGCGATATAAGAGAAACGTGACGCCCGGCGATCAACGGGCGGCAACATTTAATTTGGTTTTCCAAGGTCTTGTGTTTTGTTTGTGTTTTGTTTCAAAAATAATAACCTTTAACGGAAAGTCCTTTTGCACTCGATAAATCGTAAAGTTTGCAAATTTTATTTGAATTGTGTGCGTTTCGTTCGTGATTGTAGAACTGAGCTTTAACGTGGAAGTCAATATGAATAAATTCGGTAAGTGCGCAATTAAAAATGCCTCAAGTCAATCAATATTTATATAGTTTTTACTGCAAATCGTGTATTCAAACTATACTATATGATGTACTACTACAAAGCGTTTATAAAACATCTCTTTTACTAGCTTCTTTATATGTCTGCTTCGAACACTGTGTGGTATTTAGACTTAAACTACGAAATAGGCCGTAAAAACAGATTGAGGTTTACATAAAATTCGAGAATATATTCTTTGTCAAGGCACTTAATATTAACATTTGATAGAAAAAGGTATTAATAAAATGGACGGACTTACGATTTAGTCTATATGTATATGTCATATATGTATATTCGAGTATGGAATTTTTGTTTTCATAAGGCACAATTAACACTTTATCGATTGTTTCATTTTTGTACTGTCCTACAAGTTAATATATGAAATATATGTTTTAAATAATAGACAAGGCTGCTAAAGACACTAAATATATTCATAGACATACATATATAGATAATGTGTATATGGATATATATTTAGAGAAATCATACTTCAATTGTATACCCGCTGCGCTGGCTCCTGCTTGCAGCCGGCAACGGCACAAATGGAAATGGAGGAGTTACCCAAAACGCAGCGGTCGTCACTGCCCACCGGCGCGCTGTTGCCCTGATATGACTATGAAAAATGTGTGAAAATATTTTTTGTGTGCATGTCCAAGTCCAGCTACCTATCATTTTTAATGAAAAAAGAAGAGCTGGCGATTTTTTTTTTGTTGCCCTGGCAGGAGACCAAATCTAAGACCAAGTGGCTGATAAACTGGTTCCTGTGGCGCATAGAAAAAGTTCTCAGGGTATAGATAATAAAAATTCAAGCGCATATGATAATCAAGGCGCAAAAAAAAAAAAAAGAAATCGCCAGCATATTTAATTCAGGCAAAAAAGCAGCCAATGGACCATCGGACGCCGCAACGTCGACGATTTAATATAAGAAAAACACGACGGCAGGCGTTCGGTTATTTTTTGCAGCCTCTGGCCTGGCAGGAAAGGTGTGTGCGTGCGGCACAAACAACCCTCAGCCTGGCTCTAGAGGATGGGTGTAGGTACGGGGCCTAACTGGGTTTTGATGTTAACAGGTTTGCAAATTCTGAGCGAGCAGCACACGCATACAGCTGTGCAACTTCACGGACATTAGCAACGACCACAGTCGGCAGTAGCTGTAGCTGTAGAACGTCGCTTCCGTAATCTGAGCGCAGTAGGCGCGGCTGTTTGCGCTTTTCTGCTGCTGCTGCTGCCGCTGCTTCTGTTGCTGCCGCTTTTGATAGAAATGACAAATAACCAGATTCATTGTAATAGATTATGTCTACAACTTAATCGCCTTGCAGATAAATGATGACAATGTTCAAAGACGCATCGAGCGAACATATCTGGTATATGGAACATACAACGGACAATTTGGGTTTGCTTTTCTGGGCTTCTTTTTTTTCGGCAAGAGCGCGTTTTGTTTTGGGTGTCAATTTTGTGTCTAGCTGTTGCTTTGTCATATTTTTTTTTAAAGATTCTTTTGTTTTTGTGAGGATTGATATGGAGATTCATATGTATGGACGGAAATTGACGTTAGATATTTGGCTTATGTGGACAATTAACTAAATCTATATAGTAGCGTAATCGTAAGGCCAAACAGTGAGATGACCAAACCCAATGCAGATTGCAAGGCCGATGCTCCCGCCAGACGGCACTTGAACATGTCGTAGCGAGTCTCCTTATCAGCAACAATATTTTGATACTCGGCTTCGACCAGCTGCCCGTCATAGTAAGTGATTAGATCCTCAAACGGATACTCATAGCCCTGCAAGCACTCGCACTTATATCCGCCAGTCTCATAGCCACGTCCCATAATGGGCACACACTGCCAAAACGAAAGTTATTAGCAAGTTTAAATTAAAAATTTCATCAATATAGAATCGTTACTCACATAGGACGTCTTCTCATCGCACTTGTGTGTGCCCTTATAGGCATTAGGCTCGTAATACCAGTCCGGGCACTGGTTTATGTCCAGCTGCAGCATGTCCATGGATACAGCGACCACACCCCTGCGAGAGAAGTCAACAAATTAGTCAATTAATTGCTCACATTATCATGACAATGCAGCTGAAGAGCCACAAGTCATAAGTTAGGCCATGTCAACACTCAAAAATTAGACAATCATATCATAGAAACCTTAAACATAGCATTTGCATGTGAATAGCAATGGGATTGTGAATGAGTATGGGACTGGCCCTAAAAGGGGTGAGCAGGCCCGCGACAGCGGCACGCAGCAGACCGGCCCAAGCCCTAAGCCCAAATGGTAGCCCCTACCCTAATGCGTATGAAATCTACTCACTTGAATTCCAGTTTGACTTTGAGGCTGTCCCAGCCAAAGAAGGGCACCGCATAGGTTATCAGCCACTTCTTGACATATCCATTGCAATCGAACTGAGGCTGCGTCCAGTAGCCGTGCTTAATGTTTGCGGCACGATACGAGTTCGGGTAGTGCTCATACTTCTGCTGGTATTCACCTGTCTCATTGTGACGTATCTTGATTTTCATGTAGAACGTTTCCAAATCGTCAAAGTTCGTATTCCAGCGCTGCTTGAGGAACCTAAAGTACTTCTTTTCCGTATAGAGCTCGTGCGTTTTGTTCAGACGCGCCAGATCCTCCACCTTAAACTTGCGCGTGTTCAGCTCCGTTTTGTATGCATAGGGTCCAAAGTAGGTGCGATTGGTGAACTTATTGCGTTCCCAAAGCGTTGACGCCGACCAGACCTTGCTGTCGCCCAACACAATGGCCAGGGTCTCGCCTATCATTTGATCCTCGGTCAGCGGCTTGTCCGCAACACGTTTGCCAGAGTACACCTCATTGGGGTCCGATACCTATGCGACACAAAAATTTAACTCAAATATGTATTTCAGCTTCTTTTTTTTTTTTTTTTTTTTTTTTTGGTTTGGGGAAATAGTTTCCCCAATTATTTTGTATGCTAACAACTTGTGCAAATACGAGCATAAAAAGAATCAGAAGGTTAGAGGGAGGGTTAGAGGAGTCCAGTTTATACGAGCGTTTGCTTCTCTTTATTGCTGATGCTGCTATAGCGGCTGTGTAGCTGTGGCATTTAATGAAGATGACGCCTTGTGGCGAACCCGTTTTTCGTGTCCTTTGCGCTCAAACTAATGAATTTAGCATTTGGTAATGGTTTGACACTGAATATTTAATTCACGCCGCGGCTGGCAACTGCCAACTGCCAACTGGCACCGTATAACTGAAACTTCAATTGAAACTGAAACTGAGACTGAGACTGCGACTGAAACTGGCATTGCAGGAAATTCGAGGAAGTTGAATTACGCGTGGAAAATTATAATTTACACTTGAGAAGTTTTCAAGAGGCGACATCGAAGGCTCTTAATAGGTGTCGGGTTTATCAATTATTGCTCTTCATTTAGCGTGAAGGCGATGGGAAACTTTCGCACGCTTACCTGCAAAAAGGCGCTAATAAAGTTGGCCAGACGCACAGCCATTTTGGCTTCGTTTTCGAACTGCTCCTTGGCGCCAAAGCTAACATCGCCGCGCAGTATCAGATCTTGCGGATGGAAACTGAAAGAATTTAAAGCAATATATAATACATATAAATATTATATTTATGATTTTGTGCACTCACTTCTTGCATGTGCGGTAGTTGACCCCGTGAATATACTTGAGCGCCTGGTCGATATTCAAATGCTCTGTGTGCAGGGCCTTTGCGCCTGTCGAATAATTGCGATACTCCGTGTGCAAATCTAAATACTTTTCTCGTATGTGATAGGGCGCCTTTTCCCACTGAATGGGCAGCTTTTGTATCCCTGCAAAGAGCAAAAACTTAACAGATTGTAAATGTATTTACTATATATTAACTTACAGCCGATTTTAAGGCAATTGTATTCATTGTAATACTGTTCCGCCGAGGCCCGTTCCACAATCTCGCCCAGATAGGGTCGCCGCACAGTGTTGGGCAGTCGGAAGCCCGGCTTACAGCGACACTGGTAGCCGCCACGCCTAAAACCCCAGCCGTGCAAGGGTTCGCATTCGGTTGTTTCCTTTTTACATCGCGCAGTGTCTGCAAAGTGATTCGGTCCCTTGTTGCCTTCGCCCAGCGGACACTGATTTATGTCTATGCGCTCAAAGTCCATCTCCAGCACGGATACCGCAGTATATCTAAAGTGGAGTCAGATTAGTGGGGGAAATATTTCGAGGCTATCAGTCTTTGCTCACTTGGGATACTCGATGTGACGGAACTGGGTGTGTCTGGGATAAATATCTGCAATGGGCACCACGGCTGCCACCAGCCACTTGTTAGAGCGTCCACAGTCGAAATAGGGCCGTGTAAACTTAATTGGACCCGGTATCTCCTCAGAACCAGGTGGACCATGGAACGTGAATGTTTCGTTGGTATTGTTCGCATAGCGAATTTCCACTTGGTAGGTGATCTTCGTGTCATGCCGACCAGCAACGTTGTCTGGC